CGGCCGCCCCCCCCCCCCCCCCAGCCACTCCTAACCACGCCAGTTCTAGACACGCTCAGGTTTTAACTTCCCATGGCACTCACAAAGGCTTTTTCACACAGGGTTCACCTCACTGCTCAGAGCTAAGAACAGATTAATTTCCGGTGCAGGGAAGGGGGCTGCTGCCACGTGTAAAATTCTGCTTAAGCCACCTGGAGAGAAACAAGAACACACCAGGAGCTGAAGGGGACTGAGCCAAAGAGCAGGCATTTCAGAGCTGATGGCAGAATTCAGTGGCGATAAACTTACCGTTAACGCTTTCAAAGGCCTAAGGTGGTGGTGGCATCTGGAATTCACTGCAACCGCGCTGTCAGTCCACCTTAACGGGCTTCCGGAACAGCGGGTATTTACTGGGCAACTGGAGTCAGTAATTCACAATTAGGAGAAAGGATACAAACACTTCCCAAAACCCAGCCCTTCCCCAAAGAGGAGTGGGAGGTGCAAACCACCCTGAGCAAACCCCTCTGCACCCCTGTTCCTCGGGCGCGGGGTAGGCGCAGCACAGGGTGCTGGGAGGAGGGGAAAAGAGACCCCCTCCTGCCCCGGGGGAGGTGCTGTCGCCGCACGCTTGCTGCCCGCCGGCTGTGCGTCAGCGCCGGCTGTCCGACCGGCCCCTTGGCGCCGTTGAGGGCTGCTGTTCTCACAGACGCCGAGTACCGACACCTTGGCACCTTGTGACGGGCTGGTGGAAACGCTCGAGAGTAGACGGAGGTCGGAGATGAGCAAAGCGCTTCACATCAACCCAGGGGCGACCGTATTCTATTTTGTAAGAGAAACACGCAGTGTAAGAAAAACAAACCAGCAAAATCCAAAAGCAAGTACTGGCTGAGCCCGAGAAAACACCAGACATGTGAGTGAGCTCAAGATGAGGGAGTTAGGGACGGATCCCGGTGATTACAAGACCCTGCAAACACCCACTCAACAATACTGACAACTCGGGGCGTTAGAACATGTCCCCAAGGAATAAAAATACACAGGATTTTCCCCAAGGGGAAGACTGGCACAGGCATTTTAGACTGAGGAACCCAGGCAACCGACTCCCACGTTTACCTCTGGCTTATTTCCCCCCCTTACGAAGCGATACCCGCTCCGTACCGCGAACGCTGTCCCTCTGCTCCGCAGGAAGGATGCTGTTCCGCTGGTGGACGCGTTTGACTTCACAGACAAGAGCCTGAATTCCGCGCTCGGCAGCTACAATGGGCAGGTTTACCAGCGGCTTTACGAGTGGGCTCAGAAGTCGCCGACCAACAAGCAGGTACGGACACTGGGCCACGGCCCGGCAGCCTCCGCGTTAGCCAGAGCAGGCGCTGTTTGCTCTCCTTTCAACATCAGCAATACCGAGAGAGCCAAGTGGAGTAAGAGCCTTTAATTCCCGGTATCTCACTCCCAACAACGGCCGGTGCCGCGATAGTCTCGGCTCAGACGTTTAACCAAACGAGTTACAGCGCCCAGAGCGCTGCAGCCTCTGCGGGGGGCTGGGCTGTCCCGTGCCACCAACGCGGGTTTGGTTTTCAGCCTTGTACCACTGAGGTGACTGTACCGAGTAAGTGAAAACAGGTCTGTTTACGTCGTTTACGTACTGCGGAACAACAGTAGATGGCTGGAAGGGTCACTGATTGCAGGGTGTTTTCCATTCACCGGTACTCCTATGAGTGCCACACGTCGTATTTTTAACAGCATGTTTAACCAGAAAGAGTATAAATGTTAAACAAGGCAATTTCATCCCTGGTGGTCGTTAGCACCTTACTTTCACTCCTCAATTCATCCACACTGTGATGTAAAATTCTGCCCGACACAAACAGCTATCGCTCGCCTTGAAAACTCGTTTCACCATAAGTGAGGTTTTTACTGTGGCAACCAGCAACCCTTTGGAATTCTGCAGCGGAACATAAAACTTGCCTTCAGCGAGCAGGCGAGATCCAGCACATTTCTGAGGTCCACAGCGTGCTGTCCCGCCTGGGACGGGCGTTCTGTGCTGGTTAGGAGGGACGGCACTTACCACAGGGGAAGAGATGTGGCATGCTGCCGAAGCAGCTGGTTAGTTAGTTGGTTGGATCTTCATAAATGGCCTAGATTTCTGTGCTTCAGAGATCAACCTTAAAAAACAAACACAGCTTTTTCCTTCTTAATTCCCATTATTCCCTCCCACCTTCTCTCCCGAGCAGGTGAGCCCAGCCTACGAGCGGTACTTGAGGCCCCTTCTTCACAACGCGCTCTCAAAGCTATGAGGGCCGTGCGCCAGGCGAAGGCCGCAGCCTCCCCGCCCTCTGTGCGGCAGCACGCCGACGCAGCACCAGCAGCGACTCATCAGAACGAAGAACCAGCAACAACCACGCGCCACGATCCCCAGCCAGCCATTTGCATTTCGTCAGACAGGAGCCAAACAACGCCGAGCGGCACCCGCCGCAACCCAGCCAGGAATAGCCTGGGGTCGGCTGGTTTCGAGCCTGAAGTGACGTGACAGCACCCGAACTACGCCCAGGGGCTCTCCTCTCCTTTTTCTAAACCCACTGTAGGATGCTGAAGGGAGAGACCCGCTCCCTGAGCTCCCCCTCAGCGTACGAGCGCTGCACCGTGCCTTCAGAAGAGCCAACCTCACCGAAACCCCAAGGAAGGTGGAATTACGGTCCTAGAAACCAAGGACCTTGTTCTTTAGGGCAGGAAGAGCAGTCGCAAGCACAGCTGTTGGGCCAATTAAAACAGCGCTCAGCTTGCTCGGCGGGCGACTCCTCCCGGCTAACGAAGACTCGGGCAAAGCCGACGCCAACTCCGGTCTGAAAAACGTACTTTCCCGTTAACAGAGCCGCTCGGGCTGCCTCCCTATAAATCCTGGGCTCCAATAAAGCCTATTATTTGGAATACTGCTTCTCTAATCATTATACCACGTAATTATGCAGAGGGCAGGCTGATCCAGGCGGGTCGTTAATTTGCTGGTAAACGAAGCGTTGCGAAGAACATCTTGTGATTCCCAGTCCAGGGCAGTTAACACAGATCCTTCTTACCACGTGTTGCGGGAAGGGAACGACGGCTCCTCCGGAGCTCCACCAGCTCAGCTTCGCTCTCCCCCCAAGGAGGAAGGGCAGAGCCTCTTATCAAGTCAAACCCCTATAATATACAAAGAGGGGGAGACAAAAATATGACAAATACACCCCGAGACGCGAGCAGGAGGCGGGATGGAAAGCTCCCGCCTCCAGAACCAGCAGCTACCATAGAAACCCAGACCCCCCCGACACCCCAAAAGCGCCGAGGTCCGCACAGCCCCAAGAGCAAAGCAGCTGAGCTAAGGGACACTTGTGACAGGGACTTCATGGGAGTATGTGACCCGCTCAATGCGGGTCCCGACCCCCGACTCCCAGCAGCGTTCGGGTTCGAGGTTCCGCTCGTACCGGTGACAGTGCCCAGGGTAAGCCGAACGGGGTCACCAAAAGGGAGCGAACCCACAGAACTCATGCGCCTCAGCCCAAACTTCAGCAGAAAAAGCTCCCTGCGGTTCGCAGTGTCCGCAGACACTAGGTACATCGCTGCAGACCAGGCAACGCTGCTCAGCGTTTAGGCTCCGTGCTCCCTCCACGCCTGCCCCTTCAGCCAGCACCCACACCCGCCACCCTCCGCCAGCCGCAAGGCCGCGGCGGGACAACGGCCCCTTCTGCCGCGAGGAAGCCGCACCAGCCCGCCGAGACAGACAGGAACAAAGCCGATGGGGAACGGAGGAGAACGGCGCCGCACCAGGCGCCTGCACCGCCCTACGGCGCGGAACAAGGGGGTCGGGTGGGATTCTGGGTTTGGTTGAAGCACCGCAGTGCTAGAAGACAAAGGTAAAAATACAAACCCATAGTCTGCACGTCACGGTTTTATTAGCTTCTTGCTGGCAGGCATTACACTTGGGAATAATATTGCACCCGGCATTAAAAATATGAACTCTACCACAGGGACATCTTGCATTTAGAATCCAGTATAAATATCTCTAATCATATCTCCATGGCTACAGATAATATTTGGTTGCTTGATTTATATGCATAGAAAGAAACAGTTGTCGTAACTGTAAGAAACTGTACTTATCAAGTACTTTTCAAGGGTGGGATTTGTTTTCCTAGAATATCACAATACTGCTTATTGATCGAGAAACGAAATTAGCCTCCACGACAGCAGCTTCTCCCCAGCCGCGTCGGAAATCCCGCGTGGGTCTCGCTCCCGGTGCCGCAGCATTAGATGGATTAGAAACCACTGCAAGGGAGGTAATTTTAGCACTTTGAGTCGTGTCAGAGAATTGTGTTAATGACACAAAATAACCCTATTGTACTAATTCTTCGGACTCCCGCTTTCAAACAAAAAGGTGTCTTGACTGAACAGGCACACGCACGTGGTTTTTCTGACCGGGACAAAAGGACAGAGCCGCTAGAGAACAGAACTCCTCCAGTCCTTATCGAGAAACAATAAATAGTCGTATAAAAAAAAAAAAAGCGCCCAGGCTGTTGCTTCAGTCCAAATGCAGACTGCCTCGGGTTCGCTGCCCGAGGAAGTCGCTAGTCACGGCCGCGGCTCCCGCAGAGTCAGTCGTCCGTTTTCCGCGCCAGTCTGCAGAAAGTCCAGTTGTGCTCCACCGTGTTCTCATTGGCACGCTCGCTCATGTGGTGAACCCTGGTGTTCCTGATGGTGAAGCCCTGCTTCGTGATGTACTCCATCAGGTGGACTCGGAGCGACACTTCCTGGTGGTAATCGCACGGCCCGAACGTGAAGGAAACCTGGCAGTCCCGCGTGTCCATCATGTGCTTATTCCACTTGGTGAAGTGGTTCGAAATGCCCTCCAGCAACGCGTGGACTTTCGTCGTGATCGTGAGCTGCGTGATGATGACGGCCACCGGGTTGGAGTACTTGGACAGCTTCCGGGTGCTGGACAGCTCTACCACCTCCTCGAAGGTATCCACGGGATACAGCGGCTTGGGGTCGTTAAGACACTGAATCAGAGGCTCAATCTGATAGAAGTCCGCTTCTTTCCGAAGTAGGTCGAACTCCTTGAAGTCCAGTGGCAAAGTGAGCTCGGAGGTCCTTAAAAAGTTAAGAACATAACGGAAAAGTGGTCCATCTCTGTCAATAAAGTAATTGCCCTGAGAGTCCCTGGCAGTGGGGAAGTCGCCCCTGAACATGGCCCCAAGCATTGAGTCGGGATATCTCGTGAGAGTTGTGAGGGATGTCGTGTACATGTGTCCACCCACATTTAGCGTGACTGGATCAGTCATCTAGAAAGAGAGAAATGGCAGAGTTGATCAAGCCACCGCAGAAGATTCACTCACCTCGCTGACACGCGGCACACACTGACAACGGCAGGCTCCGGAGGGAATCGCGCCTCTCCCGTCGGAAGCCTTGACGCGGTGTTTAAACCCGAGCAAACCCGAGCCGCAGCCAGCAGCGGGGCGGGCTGACAACATGCAGAACGCTTCAGCAATCTTAGCAACTGAGCTACTGCCACAGAAGGAAGTTCTGCATTTGGGCAACAAGTCTGTTTTTCCCCCGTTCTGCAAATGGGGAAACGAGAACAGAGAGATTTCCTGAAGGATCAGTTAGTCTGAACGAGGCCCATCAGTGCTCCTTACTTCCACAGTCTGCTGCTCATTCCAGAACAAAACAAAACAGAAAAGGGAGAGAAAAAAAAAAAAAAAAAAAAAGAAAGAAAAAAAAATCCACAAGCCTCTCTCTCCCTCAGGAGAGGGTGGCAGCGCAAGTTCAGACACCGGACCAAAAGCTCACGATCAAAATAATCCACGTGCTGGTTAGGGGGCATCAGTGAAACAACCAGACAGAAAAGAACTTTCAGCTCTCACTCTAAGAAGAAAGTACTTCGCAGCAAATTAGCATGCTGCACAGCAGGAGGGGGCAGAGCACAAACCAGTCTGCAGCAGCTCCCAGACAGCGCACGGGGAAGCAAGAGAGAAAGGAACACAAAACCCATCTGGCCACCAACCCTAACAACCAGGACCGCAGCCAGCCAGAGAAGAGACATGTGCACGGCAGCAGAACGTTTAGAGAAAGAAGAGGAGAAAAATAAGATGCGTTTGCCTTTGAAACAGGGTTTGCAAGGAAAAGATATTTATCTTTATAAATAAACCGACAAAGTCCTTAAAATTGGTTTAAAAACCCTGCTTTCAGCCTCTGCGTGCGAGGAAAACGGTAACAGTGAGCTCAAGGCGTCAGTGGAGTGCTCCCCGCCCGCACCTCGGAAACGGGAACCCGAGCCCTCCCCACAGGCAGCAGGCCAGGAGACGCACTGGGAAGACAAGCAAGCTGCCCTGACACCCAGTTCATCTCCCCACGCGACCGAGGCTCTGGATCTACGCGCGACAGGCCTGGATGGGTTCTTACCGCGGGCTCTGGGAAGCCCAGCTGTCCCGCCCAGCGCCCACGGGCTCACTCACCATATATCCCCAGTCTCCATTATCCATCTGCTCAATTGCTCGAACGCCGGTATTCCAAGTTCAACAGAAGGCTGCTGGAAGGATACGGAATGCACCTCTTCTTATCTCCCTGCGGGAAGAAGCACACACAAACACAAAACCAAGAAGAAGAGAGGGCAGACAGTCAGTACCTGCAGGAACGGACGCGGGGAACGCTGCCCGGGCGCAGCGGGCGCTCTGCCAGGACAGCTTTCAGCTACAAAGCCGAGCAGTCCACAGACGAGCTTTTCCATCCTCCCCCTGCCCGCTCCCCACAGGGCTGCCTCCAGAGCACGCGGGCCATCGCTCCAGCTGCCCGACCATCCAGGTCTGTTCAACAAGCCACGTGCCTCCGCGCATAGCATACACCAAACGGACTGCCTTTCACCAGGGAAGCGGGGTTCTTCGAAGGACAGGCGTCCTTTTCCCAAGTTAAAGTTTGTTCAGCCAGCGCCGAGGTCGCACACGTGATCCGTTAATACTAGTCACAATTCCCACACACCGGTTTCAGACTGGGCAGAATAAATCAGGCACGAAAGTCAACGAACAGCACGAAGAGGAGCAAAGTGTCTGCAGAATTAATAGTTCAGAGCTGCAGCTGATAGCAAGAATAGCAGTCTACAGGCCGGGCTTCACAGATACACCCTCTCCGAAGAGCTCCCTAGGCACAAGGCAGAGGACATGGAACGTGTTTCCAACAGTGCTCCAAGAAAAGCAGCTGGAGAAGCGGTTCGTGCCCTAACTTCCCAGAAGATGCCCAGCAGCTGGAGAAGCGGTTCGTGCCCTAACTTCCCAGAAGATGCCGAGCAGATGACTTGCACAACGAGGGGACTCTCCCCACCCCAGCACGGCAAAGGAAACCCGCAGCCCGGCTTGCGCAAGCGGGGACGGGAGGAGTGGTGACCCCAGACACCAGCGCAGAGTTCCCAAAGGTGGCCCGTCAGCCGAGCCGGGCACGGACAGGGCAGCCAGCCGGCAGGAAGCCAGGGCCTGCCTCTCTGCTAGAGCCGCCGAAAATTTAGGTCAGCCTGTTTTAAGTAGGGTACAGCTTCCCAGCTTTGTTTATTTTTATATCTTGAAGACCACACCGTTACCAAGGCTTCTGCTCCCACCCTCTTCGCTGGCACCCACAACACACCCAGCGAAACGCGGCACCAAGATTCGGCCGAGCCAGAGCCCGGCCGAGGGTTCAGGGCTAATTCCCAACCAAAGGTATGACCTGCCCTTCTCCTTCCCAGCCAACCACCTCGGATGCGTTAGAGGGGAGAAAAACCAAAACCAGCATATGAAAATCGTGAGGTCAGGCAGCAGAAGGGTACAGCACACTCAGGTACAAAACCCGTCATACCAGGATCTGATTTTCACAAGCCAGAGACGGAGCGTGCCTCACGAACGTGCATTACAGCACCCCCGCCCCGCCGGCAGATAAACCTGGAATGCCAGCTCTTCTGCCAACCTCTGCAACCATTTATTTTCTAAATGCTCCCAGACCAAGATGCGAATTCATTCGGGATCTCTTCAGTTGGAGCTGTCGTGCAAGCACAGCTCGTTACACTTTAACGACAGCCCAGACCTACCAGGTTCCAGCACTGGTTTTCCTTAAGGAAAAGGTAGGGACTGGTGTTATTCAGGTGACGGACACCGCCAGCACAACACGTGGACACACGGGAACCTGGAGAGACTGGTACAGGTTTCTGATATTCAGGGAACACTTGACTTCACTTGCAAGTGAAATGATGCAGCCAGCCAGAAACTCCACTGGTAATCCCGAGGGGAGAGATCTGCAAGCCTAATAAAACTGACTGGAATGCCACATCCAGAATATTTCCAAGGCAGATATCCATCAGTGCTGTCAAAGCTGGCGGACAGGTACTACGTTATGTTGGTCACACCTACGTCCACACTCCAGCGGAGTCGAGGACAGAAAAAGACGACACGGCCCGTCCGTACGAGGGCATGAACTCATCTTTGACCACAGCTCTGCTACGTGACACCGGGGTGAATAATTCAGGAGAGCAATCAGCTGAAGCAAAGCCAGCCCTCAGCGTGTAAGTGGCATCGAGAAGTCTCGCTGACCTGTGCGTAAGGACCCGCAATCACCCGGCACGCACAGACCCCCCAGACAAAGCCGGCGCAGGAGCAAGACGCGCAGCGCGAAGTGGTGACGCCGGGAGGCCACCCTAAAGTGCTCGAGTGCGATCACAACCGCCCGCCGCTTCCCCACCGGCCTGGGAGCTCCCCATTCCTGGCCTCCACAGGCCAAAACAGCTGTTTGGGTACAACCTGAGATAAGGCCACCAAAACAAGGCTGGGGACCCAGGCCCTTCGTGACGGAGGATGCTTTAAACGCTTCCTGAACGGAATAGTGATGCCTGGGTGGGGGTGGGCAGACACTCCATCCCTGTCCCGGGGTGGGCAGCCCCACATCAGCTCTTGCCCCTGCGTGGCAC